TCCATCCATCTCCTCATCCCTCCAACCATCCATCCATCTCCCCATCCATCTCCTCATCCATCCCTCCCTCCCTCCATCTAACCATCCATCTCCTCATCCCTCCAACCATACATCCCTCTCCTCATCGATCCATCTCCCCATCCCTCTCCTCATCCCTCCATCCATCCAACCATCTCCTCATCTCTCCATCCATCTCCTCATCCATCTCCTCATCCCTCCAACCATCCATTCATCTCCCCATCTATCCCTCTCCTCATCCCTCCAACCATCCATCCATCTCCCCATCTATCCCTCTCCTCATCCCTCCAACCATCCATCCATCTCCCCATCCCTCTCCTCATCCCTCCAACCATCCATCCATCTCCCCATCCCTCTCCTCATCCCTCCAACCATCCATCCATCTCCTCATCCATCCATCCATCCATCCCTCCATCCCTCTCCTCATCCCTCCAACCATCCATCTCCCCATCCATCTCCCTCCTCATCCCTCCATCCATCTATCCATCTTCCCATCGATCGATCCATCCATCCATCCATCCATCCATCCATCCATCCATCTCCTCATCCCTCCATCCATCCATCCATCCATCCATCTCCTCATCCATCCATTTCTTCCCCACATCTCATCTCCATCTCCCCTCTTTCAGGGTCAAACCCTTCCCCCTCCTCCTAGGGCTCCCCTCCCTCACCAAGAGTCCCCTCCCCATCTCTCCTGGAGCCCCTTCAGGGACTGGGCTTGTAAAGCAGAGGCCGAAGTTGCCCACAGAGAGTCACCAAAGGATTTGTGGTGGAAGGGATTTTAAAAACCAGGGGGGGAGGGGACACACAGAGCATCCCTCTGCCCGACCAGGCTCACAAATCACCCCAGACATCCCTGCCCAGCAGCTTCCTGCAATTAGGAGCAGCAGAACACCAGGTGCCAATTAACCGCACGCCAATATCCTCTTCAGCCCTTGATTCAGGCCAGATCTCAAACCAACCCCCCCTCCCCGGCGGGGTCTGGTTGTTTCCTCCCGACATCCCTGGGGATTGGGAAGGAGCATCCCTGGGGATTGGGAAGGGGCATCCCTGGGGCCAGGAAGGAGCATCCCTGGGGATTGGGAAGGAGCATCCCTGGGGCCAGGAAGGAGCATCCCTGGGGATTGGGAAGGAGCATCCCTGGGGATTGGGAAGAAATATCCCCAAGGACAGGGAAGGGGCATCCCCGGGGGCCAGGAAGGAGCATCCCTGGGGCCAGGAAAGAGCATCCTGGAAGTCTGGGAAGAAGCATCCCCAGGGACAGGGAAGGAGCATCCCCAGGGACAGGGAAGGAGCATCCCAGAAGATTGGGAAGAAGCATTCTGGAAGATTGGGAAGGAGCATCCCCTGGGGCCAGGATGAAGCATCCCTGGGGATTGAGAAGAAGCATCCCCAGGAAGGGAAGGACTATCCTCAGGGATTGGGAATGAGCCTCCCCGAGGTCCAGGAAAAGCATCCCCAGGGAAGGAGCATCCCTGGGGATTGGGAAGAAGCATCCCCAGGAACAGGGAAGGGGCATCCTGGAAGACTGGGGAGAAGTATCCCCAGGAAGGGAAGGAGCATCCCAGGGCTGGGAAGGAGCATCCCCAGGGATAGGAAGAAGCATTGCAGAAGATTAGGAAGAAGCATCCCCAGGGACAGGGAAGGAGCATCCTCGGGGCCCAGGAAGGAGCATCCCTGGGGCCGGGAAAGAGCATCCCTGGGGATGGGAAAGAGCATCCTGGAAGACTGGGAAGAAGCATCCCCAGGAAGGGAAGGAGCATCCCTGGGGAAATATCCCCAAGGACAAGGAAGGAGCATCCTCGGGGCCCAGGAAGGAACATCCCTGGGGTCAGGAAAGAGCATTTTGGAAGTCTGGGAAGAAGCATCCTGAAGGCTTGGGAAGAAGCACCCCCAGGGACAAGGAAGGATCATCCCTGGGGCTGGGAAGGGGCATCCCTGGGGATTGGGAAGGAGCATCCCCTCCTGCCCCCCCAGCCCCGGCGGGGCCTGGCTGCTTCCTCCCGACATCCCTGGGGATTGGGAAGGAGCATCCCTGGGGATTGGGAAGGGGCATCTGGATCATCCACCAGAAGGGAAGGAGCATCCCTGGGGCCAGGAAAGAGCATCCTGGAAGTCTGGGAAGAAGCATCCCCAGGGACAGGGAAGGAGCATCCCCAGGGACAGGGAAGGAGCATCCCAGAAGATTGGGAAGAAGCATTCTGGAAGATTGGGAAGGAGCATCCCCTGGGGCCAGGATGAAGCATCCCTGGGGATTGAGAAGAAGCATCCCCAGGAAGGGAAGGACTATCCTCAGGGATTGGGAATGAGCCTCCCCGAGGTCCAGGAAAAGCATCCCCAGGGAAGGAGCATCCCTGGGGATTGGGAAGAAGCATCCCCAGGAACAGGGAAGGGGCATCCTGGAAGACTGGGGAGAAGTATCCCCAGGAAGGGAAGGAGCATCCCAGGGCTGGGAAGGAGCATCCCCAGGGATAGGAAGAAGCAAGTATCCCCAAGGACAGGGAAGGAGCATCCTCGGGGCCCAGGAAGGAGCATCCCTGGGGCCAGGAAAGAGCATCCCAGAAGACTGGGAAGAAGCATCCTGGAAGATTGGGAAGGAGCATCCCCTAGGGCCAGGATGGAGCATCCCTGGGGATTGAGAAGAAGCATCCCCAGGGACAGGGAAGGAGCATCCTTGGGGCCCAGGAAGGAGCATCCCTGGGGCCAGGAAAGAGCATCCCAGAAGACTGGGAAGAAGCATCCTGGAAGATTGGGAAGGAGCATCCCCTAGGGCCAGGATGGAGCATCCCTGGGGATTGAGAAGAAGCATCCCCAGGGACAGGAAAGGATCATCCCTGAGGATTGGGAAGAAGCATCCTCAGGGACAGGGAAGGAGCATCCCTGGGGATTGGGAAGGAGCATCCCCAGGAAGGGAAGGATCATCTGGGGAAGGGTAGGAGCATCCCTGGGGCCGGGAAAGAGCATCCCAGAAGACTGGAAAGAAGCATCCCGGAAGCTTGGGAAGAAGCATCCCCAGGGACAGGGAAGGAGCATCCCTGGGGCCAGGAAAGAGCATCCCTGGGGACTGGGAAGGAGCATCCCCGGGGACAGAGAAGGCTCCCTTCCCCTGCCACGGAGGGGAGATGTCCCCCTGGGTGAGACCCTGAGGGCAGCAGCACCATCTTCTCCCCGTCCTTTGTGATCTGCTGGGCTCCCAAAAATAAATCTGAACTCTGTACTGGTTGAGGGCAGCGTGTGGGAGCCCTCAGCACCAGTGGGTTACTGGGAGAGACTGGGAGGATGGCCAAGCTCTGGTTCTCAGATATTTCTCTTCCCCCTGCTTTCTCAGGAGGCTTCTTTTCTCCCCTCCCCAGAGCTCCAGACCTTCTTCCTTAAAACATCAACCCCTTGAGCCAACCCAAGTCCCTCCCTGGAGCCAGGAGCGGGTGGAAAGAGGGAAAAAAGCCCTTTTGGAGACCACTCACACGAGAAAAACACTTGTTTTTAACACCCCATTTAGAATTAGAGGGAATTTAGAGGAGCCAACCAGCTCCCCAACCATGGCACGACCCCACCAGAAGAAGGCAAAGGCAAGGAGAGCGCTGGAGGGACGTTGTCTCTGGGACAGGAGCACAGGGATGGCTCTGGAGATGCTGGAGACCCCAAGGGACACGTGTTTGGTCACCCCCTCAACAGGTCAGGGAGAGCTGAGCTCTCTCTTGTGGGGCAGGGACCTCTGGAGACCCCCCAAGTCCCACCTCCGGGCAGAGCAGGTCACCCAGAGCAGGTTGGAGATGGGGTTTGAGCATCTCCAGAGAAGGAGACTCCACACCTTCTCTGGGCAGCCTCTTCCAAGAAGGTTTTCCTTATTTTCTCCATCCCAGTTTGTGCCCGTTGCCCCTTGTCCCATCCCCGGCCACCACTGGGAAGAGTCTGGCCCCATCCTCTTGCCCCCCAACCAACCCTTTAGCTCTTGCTCAGCATCCATGAGGTCCCCTCTCAGTCTGCTCTTCTCCAGCTGAACAGCCCCAGGTCCCTCAGCAGAGAGATGCTCCAGCCCCTCATCATCCTCACAGCCTTCACTGGAGTCTTTCCAGCAGTTCCCTGTCCTTCTGGAACTGGGGAGCCCAGAACTGGTCCCAGTGCTCCAGCTGGGGCCTCCCCAGGGCAGAGCAGAGGGGCAGGATGACCTCCCTCCAGGTTCTCCATGTTCTTCCTGACAGAACCACAGAATCCCATGGGGTTGGAAGGGACCTCTGGAGATCATCCAGTCCAGCCCCCTGCCAGAGCAGGGCCACCCAGAGCAGGTCCCACAGGAACGTGTCCAGGGGGGGTTTGAATGTCTCCAGAGAAGGAGACCCCACCCCCTCCCTGGGCAGCCTCTGCCAGGGCTCTGCCACCCTCACAGTGAAGAAGTTCCTCCTCATGTTGAGGTGGAACTTCTTATGGTCAAGTTTGTGCCCATTTCCTCTTGTCCTGTCCCTGGGCACCACTGGAAAAAGCCTGGCCCCATCCTCCTGACACCCACCCTTGAAGGATTTATAGGTGTTGATCAGATCCCCCCTCAGTCTTCTCTTCTCCAGACTAAAAAGACCCAAGTCCCTCAGCCTTTCCTCAGCAGAGAGATGCTCCAGTCCCTCATCATCCTCGCAGCCTCCACTGTCCCCTCTCCAGCAGTTCCCTGTCCTTCTGGACCTGGGGAGCCCAGAACTGGTCCCAGTGCTCCAGATGGGGCCTCCCCAGGGCAGAGCAGAGGGGCAGGATGACCTCCCTCCACTTGGTGGCCACCCTCTTTGTCCTCCCCCAACCCTAGGACCCACCACCCACCTTCCAACTCCCAGGGAGCTGCTCTCCCCATCCCTTCTGACCAACTGGAGATCAGGGATGGGGAGGTGAACCCCATCAGGAGCTGTGCCTCGGGGTGCCAACCCCAAAAGACCTGCAGGTGACAGGGGGACAAGCCCACCCCTTCCCTGAGGACAATCCCAGCCTTCCCAGCTCACCGGTTGACTTCCGAAACGTTGTTGATCCTCGCAGCTTCCAGCAGAGCATCTTCTGGAAAGAGAGAAAGGAAACGAAGCCATTTAGCAACGAGACACAACACCCTGGAGGTGACAAAGGCCACCACCGAGAAGGCAGGGCCTGGGCTTTGGGCTTGTATCAAACCCCTGTAGATCAGGAATGATCTATACAAGTTCCTTTCTCCCAAAAAAGTAGCTCCTGGAGTGTCACATCCCCAGGCAACACCTCCAGGGACACAACCAAGGATGGGAAATGGTCCTCGTTGGGAAACCAGTCCCTCCCAGTCCTCCAGAGATCACCCAGGTCCCCAGAAAACCACCAGCTCTGAAGAAAACCACTTTTTCTTACAACTGCTGGTCTCCAACTGGGAAAGTGCCACTGGGAAAGGGCTGGAGAGGAGGGGACAAGGTTCTGATGGTCACCTGGGCTTGGGGACAAGGCAGCAGAGGGTTAGGGCTTGTATCAAACCCCCTGTAGATCAGGAATGATCTATACAAGTCCCTTTCTCCCAAAAAAGCAGCTCCTGGAGTGTCACATCTCCAGGCAACACCTCCAGGGACACAACCAGGGATGGGAAATGGTCCTCACTGGAAAACCAGTCCCTCCCAGTCCTCCAGAGATCACCCAGGTCTGGAGAAAACCACCAGGTCTGGAGAAAACCACTTTTTCTTACAACTGCTGGTCTTCAACTGGGAAAGTGCCACTGGGAAAGGGCTGGAGAGGAGGGAACAAGGTCCTGTTGGTCACCTGGGCTTGGGGACAAGGCAGGAGAGACACCAGATCAGACCCCCCCATAGGTCAGGAATGATCTATAAAGTCCCTTTCTCCCTTCTCCTGGCCCAAACGTGGCTGAAAAAGCAGCTCCTGGAGTGTCACATCTCCAGGCAACACCTCCAGGGACACAACCAGGGATGGAAAATGGTCCTTGCTGGGAAACCAGTCCCTCCCAGTCCTCCAGAGATCACCCAGGTCTGGAAAAAGCCACCAGGTCTTCAGAAATCCACTTTTTCTTACAACTGCTGGTCTCCAACTGGGAAAGAGCCACTGGGAAAGGGCTGGAGAGGAGGGAACAAGGTCCTGTTGGTCACCTGGGCTTGGGGACAAGGCAGGAGAGACACCAGGAAGGGACCAACTGTGTCTACAACGAGTTTTTCTTGTGTTTTCAAGGCAAATCCTGCGGAAGGTGAGGTCCATGGTGCGGGAGGTGCCCATGGGCAGCTGGAAATGTCACCTCAGGTGGTGACAACCCCAACCAGAGGCTTCCAGATGCCACCAAGAGGCCAACGAGTTCCTACCGTGGGCTCAGAATGACCCCTCCTGGCTAGAGAGAGGAAGGACAAGGCTTGGTCAAAACCAGTACGGCCAGTAAAGCCGTACTGGGGCATCCGGGGACAATTTGGGGACAAATCTCCTTGGTTCTTAGCACCTTCAGGTGCTTCCTGCTCTTTCCCCAACATTTTGTGCCTCTTTTCTCCAAATTGTTGTGCCCAAATGGTTCCTTCTGCCTGGTGTCCTCATCCTGCCTTCCTGGAGATGTGTCCCAGCAGCCAGACCTCTGTCCCCTGTCCCCATCTCCTGCTCCAGGGTCCCCTTCTCAGGGGTACGTGATGTCTGGAGGACAATTCATCAGGCTGAAGGTGGCAGAGGGGACCAGGGGGTCGTTTGGGTGTCCCTCTCGGGAGATCCCAGCTGCTCGCTGGCCCCAGAGCCACATGCATGGACCACGTGGTGAACCCCAAGCCAAGTTGGGGCCAAACCATCGTTGGTGTTGGGGTTAGCGAGGGTTTGGCCACCACAACCTGGACTCGGGGCCACCACAGTGTCCTCCTCCCAGTCACAGACCGGTTTGGGTGGGAAGGGACCTTAAGAACATCCAGTTCCATCCAAGTGGGACACCTCCCAGCAGAACCAGGTTGCTCCAAGCCCTCTCCAACCTGGTCTTGAACCCCTCCAGGGATGGGGCAGCCACAGCTTCTCTGGGCAACCTGGGCCAGAATCTCAACCCATCCATCCATCCCCCCATCCATCCATCTTCCTATCCACCCCTCCTTCCATCCAACCATCCATCCTTCTCCTCATCCCTCCAACCATCCATCTCCCCATCCATCCAACCATCTCCTCATCCATCCAGCCCTCCATCCATCTCCTCATCCTTCCATTCCTCCATCCATCCATCCATCCATCCATCCATCCATCCAACCATCTCCTCATCCCTCCATCCCTCCAACCATCTCCTCATCCCTCCAACCATCTCCTCATCCCTCCATCCATCCATCCATCCATCCATCCATCCATTTCCCCATCCATCCCTCCCTCCATCCAACCATCCATCCTTCTCCTCATCCCTCCAACCATCCATCTCCCCATCCATCCCTCCATCCATCCAACCATCTCCTCATCCAGCCAGCCCTCCATCCATCTCCTCATCCTTCCATTCCTCCATCCATCCATCTTCCCATCCATCCATTTCTTCCCCACATCTCAGCTCCATCTCCCCTCTTTCATGGTCAAACCCTTCCCCCTCCTCCTAGGGCTCCCCTCCCTCATCAAGAGTCCCTCCTGGAGCCCCCCAACTCTTGAGGGACTGGAAGGAGCTCCAAGGTCTATCAAGACACCAGAAGACTCATCCTAAGGCTGATGAAACCTCCTGGTAACTCCATCCCCATCCCTGGAGCAGGAGGTTGTGACTCACTCCCAAGGAGACCGAGCTCTGACGTGTGCCCATAACCACGTCCTCACGCCTCTGCTCCCACACCAGTTTGCCCAGTAACACCACGGTGGCCACTCCACCTCTGACAAGACTCTGGGTGTCCACCACGGACCAGCAGACCACTGGGTGAGGGGAAGAAGAAGAATGACCCGTTCCCTGGAGGTCTGTCCCCAAGAAGAGACCTCCACGTCCCCCTCCCTGAGGGACACAGGGTCTCCTGCCCCCCACCGAGCCCCCAGAAGCTCCTCTCCCAGTACAAATCCCCCAAAAAAAGGGATTGGGGTGTCTCTGACGAGACTCTGGGTGTCCACCACAGACCAGTAGACCACTGGGTGAGGAGAAGAAGAATGACCCATTCCCTGGAGGTCTGTCCCCAAGAAGGGACCCCAACACCCCCCTCCCTGAGGGACACAGGGTCTCCTGCCCCCCACCGAGTCCCCCCCTCCCCCCAAAAAAGAGATTGGGGTGTCTCTGACAAGATTTTGGGTGTCCACCACGGACCAACAAACCACTGGGCGAGGGGAAGAAGAAGAATGACCCGTTCCCTGGAGGTCTGTCCCCAAGGAGGGACCTCCACGTCCCCCTCCCCAAGGGACACAGGGTCCTCTGCTCCCCAAAGACCCCCCGAGAAGCTCCTCTCCCAGTACAAATCCTCTCCACCCCCCAAAAAAAAGGGACTGGGGTGTCTCTGACCAGACTCTGGGTGTCCACCACGGACCAGCAGACCACTGGGCGAGGGGAAGAAGAAGAATAACCCATTCCCTGGAGGTCTGTCCCCAAGAAGGGACCCCCACAACCCCCTCCCCAAGGGACACAGGGTCTCCTGCCCCACACCAAGCCCCCCAGCTCCTCTTCCAGTATAAATTCCCCCAAAAAAAGGCACTGGGGTGTCTCTGAGATGATTCTGGATGTCCACCATGGACCAGTAGACCACTGGGAGGGGGGAAGAAGAAGAATGACCCGTTCCCTGGAGGTCTGTCCCCAAGGAGGGACCCCCACACCCCCTCCCTGAGGGACACAGGGTCTCCTGCCCCACACTGAGCCCCACAGGAGCTCCTCTCCCAGTACAAATTCCCCCCAAAAAAGGCACTGGGGTGTCTCTGAGATGATTCTGGATGTCCACCATGGACCAGTAGACCACTGGGAGGGGGGAAGAAGAAGAATGACCCGTTCCCTGGAGGTCTGTCCCCAAGGAGGGACCCCCACACCCTCCTCCCCGAGGGGCACAGGATCTCCTGCCCCCCACCAAGCCCCCCAGGAGCTCCTCTCCCAAATTCCCCCAAAAAAAGGCACTGGGGTGTCTCTGAGATGATTCTGGATGTCCACCATGGACCAGTAGACCACTGGGAGGGGGGAAGAAGAAGAATGACCCGTTTCCTGGAGGTCTGTCCCCAAGGAGGGACCCCCACACCCTCCTCCCTGAGGGACACAGGGTCCTCTGCCCCACACCGAGCCCCCCAGCTCCTCTCCCAGTATAAATTCCCCTTCTCCCCCCCAAAAAAGGCACTGGGGTGTCTCTGACAAGACTCTGGGTGTCCATCATGGACCAGCAAACCATTGAGCGAGGGGAAGAAGAAGAATGACCCGTTCCCTGGAGGTCTGTCCCCAAGAAGGGACCCCCAGGACCCCCTCCCTGAGGGACACAGGGTCTCCTGCCCCACACCGAGCCCCCCAGGAGCCCCCCAGGAGATAGTCACCCTTGGAGTGGTGGTCCCTGAGGTCGAGGGGCACAGGATCTCCTGCCCCCCACCAAGCCCCCCAGGAGCTCCTCTCCCAGTACAAATCCTGTCCCCCCCCCAAAAAAAAGGCACTGGGGTGTCTCTGACAAGATTCTGGGTGTCCACCACGGACCAGTAGACCACTGGGTGAGGGGAAGAAGAAGAATGACCCGTTCCCTGGAGGTCTGTCCCCAAGGAGGGACCCCCAGGACCCCCTCCCTGAGGGACACAGGGTCTCCTGCCCCACACCGAGCCCCCCAGGAGATAGTCACCCTTGGAGTGGTGGTCCCTGAGGTAGCAGTAGGCCATGGCGACGAGAAGGGTGGGCACCTCAGGTCCTGGGGGGCTTCTCCTGGCTCCGTTCCGCCCCCCGTTGGGGTCTCCTCCACGATGACAGCTCCTCTCAGCACCCATGGGTGACAGCTCTCCGTGGGTCCATGGTGTGGGGCAGCCCGAGCCAGCCAGGCCGGGGTTGGGGGGCTTCAGTGGGGCCAGGCCTTGCAACTCCAGCCTGGCACCCTCCGCTGGGGGGGTCCCCTTTGGGTCTTGACCCCTCTCTATGGGGGAGCCCCCCATATGTACAGGGGAGCCCCTCAGGCTCTGCCCCATGGCTAGGGGGGAGCCTTGGGGACCTGGCCCCATGGCTAGGGGGGTGTCTAAGGGGTCCTGCCCCATGGCTAGGGGGCAGTTCGTAGGGCCTGGCCCCCTATCTAAGGGGGAACCCCCCAGGGCTGGCCCCATAGCTAATGGGGAGCCCCCCAGGCCCTGCCCCATGGCTAGGGGGGAGCCCCCCAGGCCCTGCCCCATAGCTAGGGGTAGGCCTTTGGGGTCCGGACCCATTGTTATGGGGCACTTCTCAGGGCCTGGCCCCCTATCTAGGGGGGACCCCCCCGGGGCTGGCCCCAGGGCTAATGGGGAGCCCCCCAGGCCCTGCCCCAGGGCTATGGGGGAGCCCCCCAGGCCCTGCCCCAGGGCTATGGGGGAGCCCCCCAGGCCCTGCCCCATGGCTATGGGGGAGCCCCCCAGGCCCTGCCCCACTGCCAGGGGTAGGCCTTGGGGGTCCGGCCCCACTCCTAGGGGGGCTCCCCCCGACCCCCTTAGCGGGGTTCCCCCCCCCGGGCCCGGCCCCGTTACCGGGGGTCTGGTCCTGCCCCTCGGCGCGTGTTCGCGGCGCCCCCTGGCGGCCAAACCCGGCAACAACCGCGACCCACCGCTCCCGGCCCCCTCAGCCGTCACCGGAGCTCCGTAAACCGCCCGCGACGACGGCGACAGCCACGGCCGCGCCCGGAGGAGCCTCGCCAGCCCCGGCGGCGGCGGGCGGGAGGCCAAGGAGGCCAGCATCGTCCCTCTCGGCTCGCCGAGCTCCGCCGCCCGGACCTTCCTTCTCTCCCCCCCCCACACAACAACACTCCACACACGCCGCGGAGACCGGCGAACCAAAATGGCGGCCGCCGGTAGCTGCGCAGGGGCTGCTGGGAGTTGTAGTCCTTTCCGCGGCAGCCCCCGCTTTGCGGAGCCCGTTGTGGACTACAACCCCCATGGGGCACCGCGGCGCGGCCCGGGGTATGCCGGGAAGAGGCGCCGGTTCCTGTCCCGTCATGGCGGGGTTGGGGGGGGGGAGTGTAGTGCGGAAGGACCCGGGTTCGAGACCCGGTCCCGGCTGAAGGCCCGGGGCACACGCGTGTGCACACACGTGTGCACACACACGCGTTCACGCATATATGCACTCGCATGCACGCAGAGAGCACGCACGCGGGCACACACGTGCCCTCGTGCACACACGCACTCGTGGACTCACACACACGCACTCGTGGACTCGCACACACGCTCTTGCACACTAGTACACACACATGCACACACACACGCACGTGCACGCACACGCATGTGCACACGCAGGGAAGCGCCTACACGCATGCACGGCGGACACATGCCCTCGCAAACACGCTTGCACACCCAAAGGAGCACGAGTGTGCACGCACACTCATGCTCTTGCACACGTGTGCACACACACGCTCTCGCACACGCGTGCACACCTAGTGGTGTGCACACGTGAGCACTTGTGCACGATTGAGTGCACGGGGAACTCCTACACACCTGCATCCACACAACTGCCCTCGTCCACACACTCTACGTGTGCACACACCCATGTGCAGCCACGCACACGCGTGTGCGTGGCACCAGCCGGGGGGTTTACACGCCCCAGAGGGGTCGGTGCTGCTGCTGGGGGGGCTGTGTGCGTGTGAGTGCACACGTGTGTGCATCTATCGGGGTGTGCACATACGTGTGAGTGCACGTGTGTGTGCAGGCGTGTCGTGTGAATCAGGTGTGTGTGTGCATGTGTGAGCCTGTGAGTGCGTGTGCTCGCCTGTGTGTACAAATACACGCGTGTGCACGCACGTGTGTGCCTGTGAGTGTGCACATCTGTGTGTACGAGAACATGTATGTGCGTGTATGTACACCTGTGTGCACAATTACACGTGTGCATGCGTGTATGTGTGTGCATGCGTGTGCATAAGAGTACACGTGTGTATGTGCCTGTGAGTGTGTGCACGAGTACACGTGTGTGCATGTGTGTATGTGTGTGCATGCGTGTGCATATGCCTGTGTGTGCACAACGACACGTGTGTGCATGCGTGTGCGTGGCTCTCAGTGTGTGTGCACACCTGTGTGTATGAATACGTGTGTGTACATGTGTGTGTGCAATTACACGTGTGTGCACGCATGTGTGTATGAGTACACGTGTGTACACGCATGTCTGTGCCTGTGAGTGCGTGTGCACACCTGTGTGTATGAATACGTGTGTGTACATGTGTGTGTGCAATTACACGTGTGTGCACGCATGTGTGTATGAGTACACGTGTGTACACGCATGTCTGTGCCTGTGAGTGCGTGTGCACACCTGTGTGTATGAATACGTGTGTGTACATGTGTGTGTGCAATTACACGTGTGTGCACGCATGTGTGTATGAGTACACGTGTGTACACGCATGTCTGTGCCTGTGAGTGCGTGTGCACACCTGTGTGTATGAATACGTGTGTGTACATGTGTGTGTGCAATTACACGTGTGTGCACGCATGTGTGTATGAGTACACGTGTGTACACGCATGTCTGTGCCTGTGAGTGCGTGTGTACATCTGTGTGTACAAGTACACGTGTGTACATGTGTGTATGTGCCTGGGAGTGTGTGTGCACACCTGTGTGTATGAATACATGTGTGTACATGCATGTGTGCGTGCAATTACACGTGTGTGCACGCATGTGTGTATGAGTACACGTGTGTACACGCATGTCTGTGCCTGTGAGTGCGTGTGTACATCTGTGTGTACAAGTACACGTGTGTACATGCATGTGTGCGTGCAATTACACGCGTGTGCACGCATGTGTGTATGAGTACACGTGTGTACACGCATGTCTGTGCCTGTGAGTGCGTGTGCACACCTGTGTGTATGAATACATGTGTGTACATGCATGTGTGCGTGCAATTACACGCGTGTGCACGCATGTGTGTATGAGTACACGTGTGTACACGCATGTCTGTGCCTGTGAGTGCGTGTGCACACCTGTGTGTATGAATACATGTGTGTACATGCATGTGTGCGTGCAATTACACGCGTGTGCACGCATGTGTGTATGAGTACACGTGTGTACACGCATGTCTGTGCCTGTGAGTGCGTGTGCACACCTGTGTGTATGAATACATGTGTGTACATGCATGTGTGCGTGCAATTACACGCGTGTGCACGCATGTGTGTATGAGTACACGTGTGTACACGCATGTCTGTGCCTGTGAGTGCGTGTGCACACCTGTGTGTGCAAATACACACGTGTCACGCATGTCAGTGTGCATGCTTGTGTGTACAAGCACACGCGTGTGCAGGTGTGTATGAGCCTGTGAGCGTGTGTGCACGCCTGTCTGTGCGAGTACACGTGTGTACATGCATGTGTGTGCACACCTGTGTGTGTGAGAACACGTGTGTGCACGTGTGTGTCTGTGAGTGTGCATGTGTGTGTCCGAGAACATGTGTGTGCACGTATGTGCGTGTGAGTGTGTTTACACGCCCTTGTACACAAGCACACGTGTGTGCACGTATGTGCGTGTGAGTGTGTTTACACGCCCTTGTACACAAGCACACGTGTGTGCACGTATGTGCGTGTGAGTGTGTTTACACGCCCTTGTACACAAGCACACGTGTGTGCACGTATGTGCGTGTGAGTGTGTTTACACGCCCTTGTACACAAGCACACGTGTGTGCACGTGTGTATGTGCCTGTGAGCGCGCGTGCGTGCCTGTGTGTGTGAGTACACGTGTGTACATGCATGTGTGCGCACACCTGTGTGTGCAAGTACACACGTGTCACGCATGTCTGTGTGTGCACGCATGTCTGTGTGCATGCCTGTGTGTACAAGCACACGCGTGTGCACGTGTGTATGTGCCTGTGAGCGCGTGTCGTGCCTGTGTGTACAAGTACACGTGTGTACATGTGTGTATGTGCCTGGGAGTGCGTGTGCACACCTGTGTGTGCAAATACACACGTGTCACGCATGCTTGTGTGTGCACACATGTCTGTGTGCATGCTTGTGTGTACAAGCACACGTGTGTGCACGTGTGTATGTGCCTGTGAGCGCGTGTGCACGCCTGTGTGTGCGAGTACACGTGTGTACATGCGTGTATGTACCTGGGAGTGCGTGTGCACACCTGTGTGTATGAGAACACGTGTGTGTATGCGTGTGTTTGTGTGCATGTGTGTGTCCGAGAACACGTGTGTGCACGTATGTGCTTGTGAGTGCGTTTACACGCCCTTGTATACAAGCACACGTGTGTGCACGCAAGTATGAGCCTGTGAGCGTGTGTACACGCCTGTGTGTGCGAGCACACGTGTGTGCACGCATGTCTGTGTGCATGCTTGTGTGTACAAGCACACGCGTGTGCACGTGTGTATGTGCCTGTGAGCGCGTGTCGTGCCTGTGTGTGCGAGTACACGTGTGCACATGCGTGTATGTGCCTGGGAGTGTGTGTGCACACCTGTGTGTATGAGAACACGTGTGTGCACACGTGTGTCTGTGAGTGTGTATGCGTGTGTCCAAGAACACGTGTGTGCACGTATGTGTTTGTGAGCGCGTTTACACGCCCTTGTACACAAGCACACGTGTGTGCACGCAAGTATGAGCCTGTGAGCGTGTGCACACGCCTGTGTGTGCGAGTACACGTGTGTGCACGCATGTATGTGTGCACGCGTGGGGGTGTGCGTGCCCGTGTGTACGAGTACACGGGTGTGCATGTGTGTATGTGGCTCTGAGTGTGTGTATGAACACGTGTGTGTGCATGTGTGTAAGAGTACACATGTGTGCACACATGTATGTGCCTGTGAGTGCGTGTGCACACCCGTGTGTGCAAATACACACGTGTCACGCATGTATGTGTGTGCACACACGTCTGTGTGCATGCTTGTGTGTACAAGCACACGCGTGTGCACGTGTGTATGTGCCTGTGAGCGTGTGTGCACGCCTGTGTGTGCGAGTACACGTGTGTACATGCGTGTATGTACCTGGGAGTGCGTGTGCACACCTGTGTGTATGAGAACACGTGTGTGCACGCGTGTGTCCGTGAGTGTGCATGTGTGTGTCCGAGAACACGTGTGTGCACGTATGTGCTTGTGAGAGCTTTACATGCCCTTGTCTACAACCACACGTGTGTGCACGTGTGTATGAGCCTGTGAGCGTGTGTACACGCCTGTGTGTGCGAGTACACGTGTGTGCATGCATGTCTGTGTGCACGCGTGTGGGTGTGCGTGCCCGTGTGTACGAGTACACGGGTGTGCATGTGTGTATGTGGCTCTGAGTGTGTGTATGAACACGTGTGTGTGCATACGTGTGTGTGTGCATGTGTGTGTGTATGAGCACACACGTGTGCATGCATGTATGTGCCTGTGAGTGCGTGTGCACACCCGTGTGTGCAAGTACACACGTGTCACGCATGCGTGTGTGTGCACGCATGTCTGTGTGCATGCTTGTGTGTACAAGCACACGTGTGTGCACGTGTGTATGTGCCTGTGAGCGCGTGTGCACGCCTGTGTGTGCGAGTACACGTGTGTACATGCGTGTATGTGCCTGGGAGTGCGTGTGCACACCCGTGTGTGCAAATACACACGTGTCACGCATGTATGTGTGCACACATGTCTGTGTGCATGCTTGTGTGTACAAGCACACGCGTGTGCACGTGTGTATGTGCCTGTGAGCGCGTGTGCGTGCCTGTGTGCGAGTACACATGTGTACATGCATGTATGTGTGCACGCGTGTGGGTGTGCATGCCTGTGTGTACGAGTACACGGGTGTGCATGTGTGTATATGTGTGTGAATCACGTGTGTGTGCACACGTGTGAGTCACGTGTGCGTGCACGCCTGTGCCTGTGTGTGTGCACGGGTCATACGTGTGCATGAGTCATGCGTGTGCACGTGTGTATGTGCCTGTGAGCGCGTGTGCGTGCCTGTGTGTGCGAGTACACGTGTGTGCATGCGTGTATGTGTGTGTGAATCACATGTGTGTGCACACACGCGTGTGTCACGTGTGCATGCACGCCTCTGCCTGCGTGTGTGCACGAGTCACGTGTGTGCATGAGTCACACGTGTGTGCACAGGTCACGCGTGTACACGCCTGTTGTATGTGTGTGTGTGCCTGGAAGTGCGTGTACATGCGTGTGTCCATACGTGTGCACACGCGTGTGCGTGTCCCGGGGTGGAGCCGGGGGGTTGGGGGCTGAAAGGAAAGGCCGGGGAGGGGAGGGGAAGGGGGTGTCACTGGGGGGAGAATGAACTGGTTGAACTGGTTGAACTGGTCAAACTGGTCCGGCTCCTGCAAACGCGCCCTCTGGCACCCGGGCCAAGCCGGGCCGAGCCGTGGTGAGCTGTGGTGAGCCGTGCCAAGCCGTGCCAAGCCATGCAACCCACGCTGAGCCATGCCGTGCCATGCTGAACTATGCCAAGTCATGCAAGCTGTGCTGAGCCATGCCATGCTGAGCCGTGCCATGCCAAGCCGTGCCAGGCCAAGCAAGGCAAGCCATGCCAAA